GGCCAGGGGTACTGGGGAGCCATGGGAGGCCTGTGAGCAGGGGACAGGCAGCTCTGGAGCCAAGCAGCAGCCAGACTGGAGGTGGAAACTGGGGGCAGGGAGGCTAAGCTGAGTCCGCAGGTGAGGTGGAAGCCTGAGCTGGGCCAGGGCAATGGGAACAGAGCACGGGGGCAGGGCAGAGAATCAGAGCGAGACAGGGGGCAGGCAGCATCTCGGCTGGCGGCCAGGGAGGCCGTCCCCGAGGAGGAGCAGCTGGGGAGTTTGGGGGGATGGGCGTGGAACACGCTAACATGGAGGCCTGTGGGTCCCCACAGCACCAAGCAGCCCACGGAGGACCCTGCAGCGATTCGGCGGCCGGCACCCCTTGGGCTCCTGTGCCCCCCGGGGGCTGCCCTCTTCCTCCTCTGCTCCCGGGCCGCCCTGGCTTCTTACCTGCTGGAGGGGCCAGCCACAGCCTGGTGATCCGAGCAGCAGGGCCCCGCCTGCCTCCCCCACTGTCAGCGGCCTGGCTCGGGCACCAGGCTGCCACGGACATTGCCTTCACCGTCCTCCTGCCACTGGTCCTCAGCTGGACACGCTCCTGCTGGCCCTTGGGTGGTGCCTTCTGCCACCTGGACCCCAGCTTCGCCTTCCTGACCTGCTGTGCCCGCGGCCGCCTGCTGGCCCGCGGCTGCCGACTGCTGCGCCTCGGGGCTCTGGCCGGGCTGGGCGCTGAGCCACCCGAGGCCCGCAGGGCGGTTTTCTGGACTGGCGCATTCTGGCTGCTTCTGCTGGTCCTTGGGGTGCAGGCCCAGGGAGCCCCGTGGGGCTGGGTGAGCCGGGCCCGGCCTTATAACAGAACATCAGCCAGGGAGCCGCCCGACTTCTCCAGCCCAGCCCTGAATCAGCTGGTGTTTGGTTTTGGGGTGCCTCTGGGGGTGCTGAGTGCCATCCACAGCCTCCTGAAAGCCAAGCTGCACCTGGCGAGGCTCACGGGGCGGCCCCCGCTGCTAGGGCTGCCCTGGGCCTCGGGGGCCATGCTCTTTCTCTGCTGGTTCCCCTTCCACCTGCTGCTTCTGGTGAGGCTGGTGGGGACTTGGGAGGTTGGGCTGGACATGATGGGGGTCTGGGTGCTGCTCAGGCCTCTGGGGCTCACCCTGGCGGGGGCCAGCAGCTGCCTCAATCCTCTGCTCTATGTGTGGGGGGACCAGGCCTTCAGGCTGCAGCTGTGGGGGGTCCTCTGGTCCTGCCCAGGGGGAGGGTCTGGGGAGGAGACAGGTGGGGCAGGGTGATGGAGATGGAGACCCAACCTTCCTTTGAGGATCTGAGGGAAATTTCTGAGGGGTGGGAGACAGTGAGGGGGAGGGGAGGGGCAGGGGAGGGAGATTCACTTGCTCAATCTCTGGAGAATAAGCAGCTGACCTAGTGAGAGATGGTGAGATGAATGGGGCGGGGCGCGG